GCAGTTTTGGCATGTCTATGTTCTTTATCTATGTGATACATCTTCCGTCCATGTGTCTAAATAGTGAAATGTCCTAAAACAACGCCTTTGACTTTTATTATACATTTAGGCACTATCTTTTCTTGGAAATCGCCATTACTTTTGTATTTCCTTTATTCAAACTAAGACCCATTAATCACTTTCTACCACAATCGTATCTATAAATTCCTATGGTTCTTTCTGACTTGTCACTATCAAGACGGTGTCGTCAGCATAACGTAGGTTGTTTATGCTACGACCATCAACCACAATTCCTGGCATATCCATGTTAGACCTTATTTTATATCCACTGTATAATAAAAACAAATCAGGTAATAGTACACATCCTTGTCTTACTCCTTCCCTCCTTGTACTCTGAAATGTTCCCAAGTGGTTATATTTTCTTATACATGTTCTTTATAATTCGCACATCTTTTCCATCAATGTTTAACTTTTAGTAGTTTCATTATTTCTTGAAATTTTATAGTACAATATAATTTTCAACATTGTCTGACAATCATGATTACATATAGAATTTGTTTGAAAGCCATCTTTTTGAAAACATATTTCGGATAAAACATAGACATTTTTAACAAGACCTTTCTGGTGCAAATACAATACAGATACGCGGTGTTTTAGTGCTTGTCAATGAATTGTGCAGTCTATTGTTTTTTGTCTTTGTTCAAATTCACAACATGAAAACATTGCTTTGATATCATAACTGGCATACTTTTTTTTTATTGACGTATGCATGGAAACGGCGTCAACATATCGGCAATAAAACAATACAAGAAAGAGTTTTATTGTTTAAAGGTATTTATTCACACGTATAGAGCCCTAACTGAATGTTATTAAAGTATAAAAATAAATTAAATTATTATTATGAGAAATTATACAACTCTAAACAGTTTGTATTTAAATTAATGACATTTATTTTATTTTTTATTTTGTTTTTAAATGTTAATTAAAATTTAAGCTTTTGAATTTACTCGTTCCTATATGGCTACAGTCGACGCTTCTCTCATAAATTAAACAGTTACTTACAGTACAAACTTCTAAACGAAAAGCGTATGATTTAAAAAAAAAAAAAAAGAATATTTTGCCTTATTGTAGTAAGTTGCTGAAAAAGCCAGATAAATTAATTAATTATAAGAATGTAAGATTCCAGAACTGTTGTGAGCTGCGACCAGTCAACTCATTAGTCGTGTCGAACTGCTTCGGTTCAGGGAGTGAGCACAACAAGAAGACTCCGATAAGTGTAAGCAGCTCCGCTTTCCCGGATGTTTTGGCTCCTTTGTCACTAGTAGATGGTAGAGATTATCAGGGCTTTTTTTAATAGAAAAAAAGTGTCGTATTGCATACCATCACCTACTGCTAGAGTCTCATAACAACCCTGTTGGTTTTTGGAGCTGCTTTTCTGCAAAGTGACAGAGTAATTATATTCTTTACTACTTGTTTTTATAAACAATCTTTACTTTTACAGCTACTACTATTTTTTACATAGTATGTATTCTGACAATGATTATAATCTGTGATTATCAGAAAAAAGGATGTTATGCAAAATTAAGTGAATGAATTTAGAACTGACATCACTGCACTCGGGACATTCTACATATGCTCCTGCTCCGTCTTCAGTAGCAAGTGAAGAGTTGTCATGCTAATAGTACCAGTTAAAACCTGATTTAAAGTCTGTCTCTACTCCCTCTTCAGTGTTGAATATCTTCCAGACCGTTTACACCACCCCCTTTGAATTAGTTTCTTCAGTGCGTGGATTCCCTCTCTGTTCTATTGAACTGCCCATTTGATTCTGTGTAACTTTCACTGAATCCACTTTATCATACAGTAGCTCACTGCCCAAAGGAGCAACAGCAGCTAATCTATCAGCATGCTCATTACCTCGCACACATGAATATCCTGGACAGAAAGTCCATGGTGTGCTCCTGATCAGGGTCTTATCAAGTGATTCAAGCCACTCTGCAGGCAAGATGCCAGTTTCAATTTTCTCAAGCATGTTCTGTGAGTCTGTTACAATTACAACATGTCGGGCTGCTCTGCTCTCAATCCATCAGAAAGCCTGCATTAATGCCTCCATCTCTCTTCTCATACTGGATGTATGATGTTGAATGCGAGGCTCTCTGTTTTCAAACAGTGTCCATTCACCTCTACACAAACCTCACCTATTCTTCCTACATCTGAGTACAGATCCATCTGTATATATTATTATGTTCCTTGGGCACGAATTTTCATTGATCAAGTTTTGCACCGCTGATCCTGTTTCACTAGATATCCATTCCCTGGCACCTTCGGTCTAAGGCAACTACCCCTCCTTGCAAGTCTGTTTTACTGGGTGGCACTGTAACCTATTCTTCACCTGTCAGTAGCACAAAAAGTTCTGATCATGGCTTCTGCCTGTGCAATTCCAGGAGCTACCTCTTTTCAACTGTTGTCCCTTGCTGTCTCCTAAGCCCTCATGCAGAAGGTATTCCCTGTCCATTATGTCTTTAAGGTACATTGTTGTCTGTAAAACCTTTTAACTTTTATATATGGATGGCAGTGCAAATATGTGTCCAATACACACTATTGGCATGTCTCATGAACATTCTAAAATGATGCGCATGGCTCAAGAATTAAGTAAACTGAAATACAAACTTACTTACAGCCCTACAGACAACATTAAATAGGTAAAATCACAAATGGATAGACTGTAGGTGCCGTGCATGTGGGTCCATTGTTGTTGTTTGTTGACAACCTGTCCATCATTCCAGACAGTAGTGTTATACTGTGCTATAGCAAGGAGCAGGAATCACAACCCATGACTATGGCGAATGTGACTGGCTAGATCTGCTCATGTTTACAAGACTTCAAATTAAAGCCAGTGATGAAATTTGTCCTCTCCTTATCACAAAGCCTGGGCAGTATTATAGAGACCATAGCTTGCTCATACAACATGAACCCTCTCTCTACTCTTTCTTTACTCCACAGAAACGTTAACATGAATACTTTTGAAGCAGAGAATGCTGCTGGATCCAAAAATGCAGTGCTCTGTCTGACTGTCAGAGCTTCCCTCCTAGACCAGATGCTGGTCAGCAAGGCTGAGGGTCTAGTCTACCTTGCCAAACACCACTGAGTTTTCAGGTTACATTTCTAAAGCCCCCTAACATTTGCCGTTAACAGAGAACAGGCAGGCCAGTACCTACTACTATTATACAGCATAGGCTGCTAAATTGCCTCAGATTTTATACATCAGAATACATCAGTTCATTTGCCATATTCTGTGTCATGATAAAAGATTGCCAAGAATCTTCTGTCACGATCATCATTTATCTAATTCTTCATAAATCTTCCTAGTTTGTGATATTGTTTTCCTGTGATATTGTTTTCCTGATTTTTTACTCTCATAATGTGACTATAAGCTTAATATTTCTGGTATGTTAGTTTTTGTTTCTTAGACTGTTTCAAAATATTTCATCATCAGGTAGCTTTGCAGAATGTCGCTCTCATCATGGCTCCGCTTGAAAAAAATTCAGCTCTCTCCTGCCTCATACACTTTCCTATCCAAAGAATCACTTATATTATATACCCATTTACCTGCTTGTAGGCCGCTGACCTTCTTTCCTGATATAATGCCTTCTGCTAATATTTTTTTTTCCAGTCTGCCATAGCACTTAACATGGCTTCAGAATGTTTAAATTATTAATTTTGCCTTTCCTGTTTATTTTGAGAATTCTTCAGTAAGATTGCTGAGGTTTCAACCAAATTTTATGTTGAGGCTCCTTAAGTAAATGACTTTGGTTTACAGTCATTTATAAAAATTGGCTTTATGTAACATTAAACATTTTTCGATCTCTTCAACATATCTTTAATATATTCTTCAAGCGGTCATCATCATGTAGCAGGTCCTTTGCAGAACGTCGCTCTCATCACAGTCTGCCTGAAAGAAACTCGGTCTCTCGCCAGTTCTCCTGTTCTCCTGCCTCATATACTTTCATACTCAAGGAGTCACTTATATCCTGTGCCCATCTTCGTGTCGGTCGGCCCTTGACCCTCCTTCCTGGTACCATGCCTTCTGCTATAGTTTTTTCCACTCCGTCGTGGTGCTTGATATGACCAAAATATTTCAGCTTCCGAGAAAGGATGCTGATTATTAGCCAATCTTCCTTGATGTTCAGATCTTTTAAGATGTCAGTATTTTTCATCTTCTTTGTCCTAGATATTCTGAGAATCTTTCTATAGCATTTCAGCTCAAAAACCCCTATTCTCTCTTTTAAGGACTGAGAGATAGTCCACGACTCACATCCATATGTAGCCACAGGGAAGATGCATGCTCTCAAAATTCTAATTTTTATCTCCTTGCTGGTGCTTAACCATAGACTTTTAAGGCTGTTGAATTTTTGCATTGCCAAGGCCATCCTTTTTTAAATTTCAGTTGAACAGTCTCCATTGCTGTTTATTATAGAGCCTAGATATTCAAAGTTTGTGACATTTTCAGTTTTTTCATTATTTATTATTTTTTTTGGGGTGACAGCCAGTTTTATCTGTGGACATTATTTTCGTTTTCTTTAAATTCAAGAACAGATTTTGATCTTCACTGTGCTTTTGGACAGACAATATTAAATTTTAGATTCCCTTTACACTGTTCGAGAGGAGGACTGTGTCATCTGCGTAGCGAAGTTCCGGAATAGGGTTGCCACCAATTTTGAGCGGATCATAACTGTCACAAGACTGTCACTTCAAGCTGTAAAATGAAAAATTTGTCTCCCTTTCTTTTTATTTTATTTCTGGGATACATCTCACATCTAATGTTTTTCATGTACTTTTTAGAATATTTGCCACATATAAACACCATTAGCTTTCACTGTTACATATTCGTCACACTGATACCGTACACACGGCAAAGTGAGAGAAAACAGCGTCTTTAGTTTTACAAACAGATGGATATAAATTAATTTAAAAAAAACTTTATATACCTACATTTTTTCAAGATGGATACTTCAGCTGATCTTGGAGTGTCACTTGATGAGCTGTGTATAGAGCTTAATGAAGATGACAACCCAAAGCCATTAGCAGCAGTGAGATATTCAAGAGACATAGCTGAAATTGACGTCTTAGATCTTATTAACAGTCAAAATGCTGATAATTATGATACCCAGGAGGTGAGTTATGATGTTTGTTTTATTCATAAAGCAAAGTTGCAGACACAGAAAAAACATTGGGGGCATACATATTTTTAGATTGGGTGGTTAAGGGGCTGAAATCTTGTTTAAGTGCATAATGATGATAATAGTTATTATTTTGTGCTGAATCATAAAAAAAAAAGATACAAAATATTTGAAATAATATAAAATGTATAAAAAGATACTCACAAGAGAATGTCTGTACATGATTTGGGGGGGGGGGGGAAGGGGGGGGGGGCTTGGAGGCTTAGCCCCTTACACATTTTTAGGGGAGGATCTGGAAGGGGATGGGGTGACTACACTCCCTCTACTAAAATTTTGGAGGGGGGAGGCTAGGTGACTGAGCCCCAGCTTCCAGCATCCAAATGTATGTTTTCAAACACAGGGAATGATGGATATGACAAAAAGTTAGAAAGATTAAAAGTGCGCAAGTGAATTTCGTTTAATACAAAAGTGTGATTAGTGAAAAAATTTACATTTGAAAAAATAAGAGCAAGGCGCTGTATCGCAGCTGACTTCAAATCACAGTTTATCAGAACTGCTTAACAGCATTTGCAACCTTTAAGCTACAGATTAAGAAATAAATGTAAATACTGGGAAAATATATAAACCATATTTAGGTGTAGACATAAGGAACATCTGCATTTTTCAGTCTATTATTTGTATGTGAAAACTTGAGTTGTCAGTACTCCAGGTATTTTGAAAATTTTCATTCCTAGCGCTGTTACAAATATAAATGCATTTTATCATGTAAAAATATCTTTGTTCAAGATGGATGCTTCAACTGATCTTGGAGTATCGCTGGATGAGCTTACTGTTGAGATTGATGAAGATGACAACTTAAAGCAAACAGCCCCAACTGATGATTCAATGCTCAATGTCGATGTCATAAAGTTGGGTAATACCCTGCAGGTGAGTTGTTATAGATGCTAGGAGTAGAAAGTTTTACCCAACCAGGACATCACAAAGAGTGATCAACACCCGGTGACACAAAGTGCCACTATTCGGCAGGAGAGATCCCGGAAACCTTGTTTAACCATTAGGTTATATAAGGGCGCCCGGCAACAGCCAAGGTGGGCTTTAAAATAGTGAAAAATTGCATTCCACATGGGGACAACACAGATATTTTTCTAGATGCTAATTTGAACATAAAACACATAAGTAATGGGTTTGTAACAGTGTAACAGTGTTATACAGCTGAACAAAGTTTCTGGGATTTTCTCCTGTTGGATTCTCATCTGAATAGTGTTTGTTTGAGTCACCTGGTGTAAATCTTTCAGAATACAGTCCTAGAGGGGAATAATACAAAATTAAAAAAAAAAAATTACAGAAGGATAACACAGATTTGAAGGAGTGTACATTTCAGTATTATTTTTGCATTATCTAACTTTAAATTCAGTTTTGTATAGTTAATTTTTAATTTTTTTGTTTATTCCCCAGATTGAAGAGAAAGATAACACTTCAGCACATGTGAGCACAGACTTTAAGTCATGGTCTGCTCAAGAAAAGTTGATTTTGGCAGAACCAATTAACCTTGAAGACAACACTCACTCTTCACATACTGTGACAACTTCAAATACCAATACCAGTACTAAAGATGACTCAGATTCGGAATTTGAGGTGCCAGATAGACCATTGGCACCTCCCATAAAGGCAAACCTAAACCAGTCAGCTGATGTATGTGCAAAATTAACTGTAAATCAAGGACCAGATGGAGTGCAGTGGGCCGAACGTCAACAAGATGTAAACATTAATTTGACATCAGAGAATTCAAAGCTATTGCAGAATGAGATTTTACCCTCTCACCCTGATGTTTCTGCAGACCCTATGATTTTTCTTCAGAGCTCACATGCATTAACAATGCCAACAGCTCAGAATTCTTTATTACCTGGCCATAATATTTATTCAGAATTATCAGAGGCAAATAAAACAGATTCACTTACCAGCACATTAGAAGGGGACTTACAGATGCAAAGCCAAGGTTTCCTTCCACATAGAGAGCCTCTCCTCAAGAACCAGTTGTTTATGCAGCATCAGGTTTTAGATGTGACCAAACCACATTTGGTAAGAATTTTAAATTATCAAAGGTTTCATTTATTTTAGCTGTTGTAATTTATGGTGAACAAGGTGGTCAGTATAGCAGAATTTTATTTTATGAACTTTGTTTACATTTTTATTGTAAACCATAACAGCCCTGATATCATCATATTTGATTTTATAAGTGCACAAGCTGATCAGCATCTAAGATTCCACCTGTTGTTTTAGTATAATCATCAAAGTGATGTTAATGCTTTAAAAACGATCTGTACTTTATTATTTCGTTTTGCATAATTATGTTCTGAGACAGTTATAAATATGTGCCATGCTGTTAGGTCTGTGAAATTCTCTTTCTCTTGTTCCTTTTTCATTGTGTGCCAGTTATTACTATGTTTTCAAGTTTAATTCTCCTCCAAAAATTGACTGTCAGTGTTTGTTTTCTCTAATCAGTTTGCAGTTTTATCTGGTTCTTTCAGTGACTGCCTTTCCCTGTGTTGGGTTCTGTGGACTAATTTTGTTGGGAACCAGAATACACTGATCCCTACCAAAGTCCAGAAGTGGATGAACAAGCAGAACTTTCTGTCAGAGTTTGAATCCCGTGAATGCTAAAAAGATAAGATTAAGATAGGAGGTGACTAATTCGGTTTTTTTTCTTTCTATGTCTGAGTGCATCTGCCTAAGAACCTAGGAACTAAGAGTCTGCATACAAATAAGCCAGATTTGTAAATTAGATTTGAAAGTTTTTGAACACTACCAAATTCCGGAAGTTGATGAACAACTAGAACTTTTCGCCAGAATTTACAGCTGTTGAATTCTAAGAAGAAGAACAAGAGGAATGATTGCTTCATAAATGTTTTCATCTGCTCATGGTATCCTTTGTATTTTCCACATAGTCCACATTTCTCCTGCTGTAAGATACTTCTTGACTATGCACAATTTCTGTTTTGAAAATAAGTGTAATGGATATTTGATCAATCAGTTGATTTATCCATGTGTCCCTCTGGCTGCTACCTAAAGTTTGACTAAATCATCCAGAAATTGACAGTCTCAATTTGGATGGCAGACCAACAAGGAAAATCCTATGAATCCTTTTTCAACTCCACAGGAGACATAATTAGGGCACTCATAATGGCTACATCTGCCCGGTGTAACCTGCATTTCTATGCTGGTTAGGATGTGAGCTGAGAATTGTTATTTTACTGTATATTAAATGACTAAAATGCTTTTACTCTTGTAGTTTTTTTTTTTTTTTGGAACTATTGTCTGAACAAAATTTAACTGGTCATCTTATCCAGGGGGACCGCCATGGTGTAGTAGCCAGACACTGGCCTGCAGATCAGAAGGTCATGGGTTCAGGTCCTGATGGAGCCGGACTTTATAAAAGAAATGACCTTGCCCCCCAGGTCAACCCAGCCTTACATGGGTACCAGGTACACTCCTGGGAAGAAAAGGCAGCTGGCGTGATGTTGACCTCATCACCCACCGAATACTGATTGGTATAAAATATGTGTCTAGCCCTATTTGCCTAGTATGCCTAAGGGCATGGAAAAAACACTTATTTGATCAAGTATATCATGTCTTGAAATGCTATAGAAAGATTCTCAGAATATCTTGAACAAAGATGATGAGAAATATTGACATCCTAAAAGATCTGAACATCAAGAAAGATTGGCTAATAAACAGCATCCTTTCTCGAAAGCTGAAATATTTTGGTCATATCAAGCGCCACGACGGATTGGAAAAAATGGCTCTCTTTTCAACTACGGCCGGTAGACAACAGTAGACGGCCGGTTAGTCGGAGTTCTGTCCCCTTGTTGCAGTGCAATTACGGAGTGTAAAGAAGGGAACGAAACAAATGACATAATTACTGTGTGTTGGCGATAGACAGTGTGCACTGCCCTGCTATAATCATATGGTTACGGTTTGGGTTAGGGTTAGGGTGTGGGTTAGGTTTAGGGTTAGGGTTAGGGTTAGAGTGTGGGTTAGGGTTACGGTTAGTGTCACCGCATCTCGTCTTCGCACAAACTTATGGTAGCAACCCAAACCCTAACCCTAAACCTAACCCAAACCCTACCCCTACCCCTAACCCTAACCCAAACCCTAACCGTATGATGACAGTAGGGCACTGTACGCTGTCTATTGCCAACACACAGTAATTATGTCACTTGTTTCGTTCCCTCTATTCCACTCCGTAATGCGTCGCAAGAAGCGTTATTTGAACGCGTTCGCTAATTTGAGTCACAGCGCGGGGTCTGCCAGGCATGTCGACCTCACTGTGTTTTCTGATTCGTGCCTTCTCCAGTCCGTAATTCCACTGCAGCCAGGGGACAGAACTCTGACTAACCGGCCGTCTACTGTTGTCTACCGGCCGTAGTTGAAAGGAGAGCCGAAAAAATTATAGCAGAAGGCATGGTACCAGGAAGGAGGGGCAGGGGCCGACCGACACGAAGATGGGCACAGGATATAAGTGACTCCTTGAGTATGAAAGTATATAAGGCGGGATAACTGGCGAGAGACTGAGTTTCTTTCAGGCAGACTGTGATGAGAGCGACGTTCTGCAAAGGACCTGCTACATGATGATGATATCATGTCTTAGAATATTGAAGACCTAATATTATAGTATATGGTTTGGGTGTATCTTTTAGGTTTTTGTTAATTAACTTAGTAAAAATTTACCAGCGAGCTTATGTTATAGCGGCTAGACACACACCTGCTGGCAGAAAGGTCTTGGATTCAAATCCACATTAGGGTTTATTTTTTTTCATTTCTGACCTCGGTTCCCAGGTCAACTCAACCAAAAATTGACACTAGGCAGTGTAAAGATGGCCAGCATGATTTTGACCATTGGCCTGTAAAAATGTAGATCTGATAATGTATGTACAATTGAACAGTCTCTAATTTTTTATTTTTTATTTAAACATTTCACATCTTAACTCAAGTATAAGTTATAGGTCTACCTATCAAGTATAGATCTACCTTTCAAGTATAGATCTACCTTTCAAGTATAGGTCTACCTTTCAAGTATAGATCTACCTTTCAAGTATAGGTCTACCTTTCAAGTATAGATCTACCTTTCAAGTATAGATCTACCTTTCAAGTATAGATCTACCTTTCAAGTATAGGTCTACCCTTCCAGTTTTAATTAAATAATTTAGTACTATGAACCAGCAAATTCATAAAAATAATAAGTCATTTACATATGCTAAAAAAATACAATGTTTTTATTATTGAACTTGATAAGGTATTTTTAACTTTAAATGTAGCTAAGCCTATATGTAACTTTCACTGTCCACATATCAGATGTTGCCACTCAACTCTGAAACTGAAGATGGCAAAAATAATAAAGAAAAATATTCCAGACCTAGTATTGTTACCACAGCAGATGACTGGGAAAATATTCAAACTATTGAGCCAGGTACCATTGTTGTATTCTTTATTGGCTTGCTCTTAATTACAATCTGATTTAGAAGAGGACAAAATGGCTTAGATCAGTGGTTTTCAACCTCTGGGTCGTGACCCTTTGTTTGTCAAATGACCCTTTCACAGGGGTCACCTAAAATGATAGGAAAACACATTTTCATTGAAGTTATGAAGTATCAATAAAAATAATTGTATGGCTGGAGGTCGCCACAACATGTGGAACTGTATTTAAGGGTCGCCACATTAGGACGGTTGAGAGCCACTGGCTTAGGTGTTATAGCACATGTGATATTTAGACTGTAAATAATGAAGCTGATGGTATACAACCCCCCCCCCCCCCCCCCCCCCGATTTTTTTTTTACTCTCCAAAATTCTGAGGCAGTGAATCAAATTGTTGGCCTTCTTGACAAGCAAAAGGAACTTAAAGGAATTTAGTGTAGATTGCACACAAGCTTTTACCGGAGAATAATTACAGCATATGTGCTTAGAGTATGCATACATTTGGGTCCTCTCTGGTGCTCCCTAGCAATCTGTGCACCGTACAGAGATTCTACATATGTGATATGTTGATGGAGGCCTGTAGCCTTTTTACTATGGTAACATTAAAACATTGATACTGTTTATAAAATGCGATAGTGTAATGACAAGGTCAACATTTGATCTGATTGTGGTGTTTTTTCTTCAAAATTGACTTTGGCTGAATCCAACCTAAAATTGGTACCAGCAAATGTCTTGGAAGTAAAGATGACTGGCATTTTGATCACAGTTTGTCTAGAAGATTTTTATCAGTAGACAAAAAGAAAATTACCTAACAAATATAATTTTACTTTAAAAAAACGCACACACTAATTTCATAAAATCCTTTCGAAAATACTCAACCCTAAGGTTTTTAAGAATGGCCAGGGGTGCTGGACTAAATTCCATGCACGAGGAAGAAAGGAATGCATAAGACATAATGATGGAGTGGAGAACGTGACTGTGAGTCCTCTATGACATATAATGGAACAACAGGAAAATAATGATGGTTATAAAAATGTTTGTATGTCCACCCACACATGTAAGTACAGCTTCTTATGTTTACTATTATTCTATGCAATTTTGAACATTCTTGTAAAAATTCATAACTTCACTGCCTGTAGATTCTTTGCCATTCCATTCTCCGGCCTTTGCATCCTCACAGAAGAACTATGTTTATTCAGTAATCTTCTTTTTCTTCTGTGTTTACCCTTACAAGGGTAGTTGGCACACTGTGTTGTGGTTGACAGCTAGGCTGTAATATTTGTGCCTTTCAGCCCAACATGTACTATTTCAGCAAACCCTTAATTAGTTGCCTTTTATGGCATGCTGGTTGATCTATTCTTTTTTCTTTTAAATCCATAAATGGGACCCCAGGCCCACAAGGGGGGTTTTTCATTAATCACTTTGTTTGTTTGCATGATATTTCTGTAACACTTTGTTTTCTTGTCGGGATATTTCTGTAACACTTTGTTTTCTTGTCATGATAATTCTGAAACACTTTGTATGTTTGTCATGATATTTATACAACACTTTGTTTGCATGATATTTCTGTAACACTTTGTTTTCTTGTCAGGATATTTCTGTAACTTTTTGTTTTCTTGTCATGATAATTCTGTAACACTTTGTATGCTTGTCATGATATTTATGCAACACTTTGTTTGTTTGCATGATATTTCTGTAACACTTTGTTTTCTTGTCGGGATATTTCTGTAACACTTTGTTTTCTTGTCATGATAATTCTGTAACACTTTGTATGCTTGTCATGATATTTATGCAACACTTTGTTTGTTTGCATGATATTTCTGTAACACTTTGTTTTCTTGTCGGGATATTTCTGTAACACTTTGTTTTCTTGTCATGATAATTCTGTAACACTTTGTATGCTTGTCATGATATTTATGCAACACTTTGTTTGTTTGCATGATATTTCTGTAACACTTTGTCACGCTACTTCTGTAACAAAAGGGGAAAAATGAAGATTCCTATTCTTTAAAAGTATTCTTAAAATTGAATATAAAAGTGCTATATCAGGCAACCATTTTAGGCTGGAATGACCTGGAAGCCAAGATCAGTTATAAAGAAAATCTCTCAGTGCAGAACTGAACCCAAGAACTCTGAGAATATTGAATAAACATTTTTTTTATGTTTCAGGATTTATTCAGTCAGGTGACAGATTATCAGGTAAGGTACAAAATACACTTATAAAAACATTATTTATGAAAAATATATTAGCTGATTACTAAAAATGCTTATACAAATAGCCAATGATTAATATTTCCATTTCTTACTGTTTAAGTGTATACAGAAAAATATGCTTTTCTGGTCAAGTTATGTCTTTCCTTTTAAGGTGACTCCCATCACTGATTGTTGCAAAACTGTTGGTCCCTTCTCAATGTCCCTGTCTCTTTTGTTCTCATATACAGTGTTTCTCAGATGTTCTGTCCTCATCTTTGTGCTGGCCTATCCCTCTTCCACTTTCTTCTTTCTAAACCACAGTTGTATTTCATATAGCAACATATTTCAGTTTCACAAGGCAGTGTGTGAGTCAGTTTTTGTTGATTTCCAAATCTTTATACCCCCCACCCATTTTTGTGGCTGCAGTCTAGTAGATTGACTCTAGACTGACTCAGAACACCACTATTCAGATGTTCAGATGGAATCTATCTATCTATTGTCTTTCTCTGCTTAATGCTGTTAGGCATCGCAGGCCTAGCTTATGACCGGTTACTGTGATATTGTGCACTCATTAGCTTGCTGCATAGTGATATCATAATGAGAATAAAAAAGGGGAAAATTCCAGAACCTTATAGCATGTTATGTTGGGATACCCTATAGGTAAAAAATAACCTGCTGTCCAAGATAAGTGGGAAGGTCACAGAAAGTAATAATTTTATACATGGCATTCTAAAATATTTTGCTATAATATTTATGTTTCGAAACCCTGACTTTCCTAGTAATTACAGAATGGCCCATGATTCCCATCCATATGTTATCACAGTAAAGATGGGTGTTCTTACAATTTTTGATTCTCAACAATGGCAGATTTAAATACATATTTTTTTCAGCCATGATGATATCATTGTTGTCTCTTAACTTTTATTAATCAGGGTCTCATGATGACTGTCTGTGTCATCATTTTACCTCCATCACCATCTCACAGATCAGATTATGACAGAGGGCACATTTTAATTCTCTACTCTGTTTATGTTTGCTGATTGTGTTTATGTTTACTGATTGTTCTCCTTCATTGATTCCTAAAACGAATTTCAGAAATATATAGAAAAAAAAAATGATTTGTGAGCTGTATTATTATTATTAATTTATTTTTAAAAGCATTTTTTCAGGAATTCCTGACTTCATGGTTTCTTCAAAAAATGTCTGGGGTGTAAGGATCAAATTGGGTACCTATTTCTTTGGGAAAGTAAAGCAGCCAGTGTAATACAGACTATGTTCTTGAAGTTAACGACCCTTTATTAGGCCTTCAGGTGTGCTCGGCTTGTAGTGCAAGACCTATATTTTATAGACCAATACAGCAGCCATATTCTCAATATGCCTCACAGAACATAAATGGACTTTAGTTTACTTTATCTTTTGTGGAACATTGTTGAAGTATCTCATTCTCAGAATGTGTTTACATTTCTTGGTCAACAAATAGGCCCAGAACCTATTATTGAATCCAAACCACTGACATCATTCTCTGACTCATGGGCGTATTTCAAGGCTGCTGACTACACTTTAGTTAAGGTCAGTACCTATCCTGTTTGTACACACAAATTTTAATTGACTGTTATTACCACTCGTGGATTTGTATCATGGTAAGGGGCGTTGCAGGTTGACCCAGTCTAAAATGGGTACCAGATTGGCTGTCCTGGGGAAGTAAAGACGGCCAGCATAATGCTGACCACATTACCCACCTAGTGCCGATGGTCTGTAAAAATATGGGCGCTCTTCCCAAATATCTGATACGGCTAAAGGCGTGAAAAGGGATCTTTACTTTACTTTTACTTCTTTACTATTATTACCACTGGGGAGCCATGATAGCATAGTGGCTAGATCAGTGGTTTCCAAACTTTTTTTCCTGTGGCGCCCCCTCTTGAGTATATGGCAAGACCCCTACGTTCCCCCTCCCCAACATAACAAAATGTGATCAGAAAGAGGAAGAATGTATTCTTAATCTATAATTAAATATATGTGTTGTCATATTAATTAGCGTTTGAAAGGTACATGTACAAACTACTCATGCAAACAAAAACCTTCTTGGCTTTTTTTTTTTTGTGAAGTTAAAAAAAAAATTAATTATAATAAAGCTAAAAAAAAAATAAAAAATAAGTACAACGGATTATTACAAGTACATGTGGACTCATTTTCAAAATTACTTGACAAACTCCTTGAAACTTCCTTGCACTACCCCCAAGGGCTTCCTACCGAACACACCCCTCCCCCCCTTCCCCGCCCAGGTTGGAGACCAATGAGCTAGATGCTCACCGGCTACCCTTAAGGTTTTGGGTTCAATTTCACATCAGAATGTCTCTTGGCTCCCAGGTCACTTGACCCTAAAATGGGTACCAGGTAATGCCCTGGGAAGTAAAGTAGTGGCAGGTATGATGTTGACCACATTGCCCAACCAGTGCCAATTTTTCTATAAAAATATGATTCTAGCACATGTAGCCAATGCTGCATGGGCGCCCAAAGGGTCTTTGACATTTCTTACTTATAATTTCCTTTTTTTAAAACTTATTATTTACTTTTCTTTCTTATAATTTACTTTTCTTCTTATAATTTACATTTATTACTTATAATTTACTTTTCTTACTTATAATTTACATTTCTTACTTAAAATTTACTTTTCTTACTTATAATTTACATTTCTTACTTATAATTTACTTTTCTTACTTATAATTTACATTTCTTACTTATAATTTACTTTTCTTACTTATAATCACAGAAACACATGTTACTACATCTTTTTTTCCCCACAAGAACAACTTTGAAGACCCAGTCTTTTATTATTAGATGAAGAGAATAATCAAATCAGTCTTAAAACCACCAAAACCATCACAAGACAAATGGACAGACCAGGTAGAGTCATTATTCTATGCCTCAGACCAGGGCACAATCGACATTGCAGCCACATGCACACAACATTTGAAATGGGTGAATCAGCCATGAGCTCATGTGGACTGGCACCTGAGACAGGAGATCTCATCCTTCAAGACTGTCCCAAATACAACATATCAAGGCAAAAGTTCTGGCCAAAAGAAACATTAGTGGAAGCCAAACTTTATAAACCACTGAGTGAATTAAAAAAGACAATGAAGTTCATACTAGAGATAACATTGCAGATATGGATAATCTGTTTCCAGCTCCCAAAGAAGAACTACTTCTTTGATGTTACTATAAGAATTAAAAAAATATTTTTCAGGATAAAATAAAAGTTCAAGTAGAAAGACATGGCTTGTCAGCACTGAAACATGTGCTGTTTGGACCTCCTAAATTACACAGAGATCTCTTGCCACAGAGGGAGCTCCTATTTTGTGTTGCTGCAAGTGAGTTTACATCTTTATTTCTCAGAATATTTTATTTCCTATCAAGGATTAAAAGAGGTTGGGTAACCACTGGCTAAATGCTTGTCTGCCTGCCTTAATTTCTTGGATTTAAATCAGAATGAGGTTAAATCTGTTTATAAAATCAGCAGAACCAGGATGAGCAACAACGTGCACAAAATGAATGGACTCCGAAATGACTACATTACATTATTAAGATACTGTGTAAACAAGAAGAAAAGGAAATTTGGGGGAGAAAACATAAAAATTACATCTAGAACCAAACTTACAATATTGGACTCTCGTGTCAAATTAGTTCTGTTGTATGAATCAGAAAAGATAAAGAACAATATCTAATAAAACACAAGCATTCATAAATTGGTAGAACTAAAGTGGTTTGACAGAATCTCTCATGTGGAGCTCACGGAGCAAACTAAACAATTCCTTGTGAATCACATGACATAAGGGTACGACACTGGTGCTGGTACAATGACATTGAACAAAAAATCCATATTAGCTTAACTAGGAAGTCTTTTCTCTGGAACTCACAAGGCAAAAGAAATGGAGACCTACAACACACAAGTCAGGGGGGGAAAAGAGGAGGGGGAGGGGAGAGATGAATGCAGAGTGAGATATGAATAAAATAGGAAAGACTGGTTTGTTCTCTCTATCAGATGAGATGTTGCAGGTGATAGATTAAAAGGCTTATCATGAGTTGGTCAATGTACCTTTGCTCCACTGTGATGGGATATGTGGAAGAAAAAGTATCTTTTATGTATTGCTATTTTTGTATGCTTTTTAAATATTTAGTTAGATTTATTTATTTTCAGCTCCATTTGATAAATGCAGATAGGCTTGTAATTTAGGGGGTGGGGGGGGGGGGGGGGAAGCAGAGAAGAGAGAGAGAGAGAGAGAGAGAGAGAGAGAGAGAGAGAGGTGAATTAAATGGGGAGGAAGACATGGAATATCTGGGATATAAAATGTAAAAGAAGAGGTGACTTTTTTGGGTCTTTTTACATGTTTAGACACATTTTTTAAATTTTCAGCCCCATTTGATAATAGCAGTGAGTCTCATAACAGAATCTTACAGACAATCTACAGATGTTTAACTGGCTCAAGATTTGACTGCCAGCGATTTGGCAGCCACTGGGAGGAAATTGGATTCCAAGGTATGGTTTAAGCAAAATTAAATTTTTTTTTTTTTAAAGTTGTAGTTTGCCAATATAATATCGGAATTATTAGTATGTGCTCAAAATGTTATAGATGTTTAATGCATAGAAGCCATACATATAACAGGAACTGGAAATGTTTTACTAAAAAGTTTAAAGAGAAGAAACCATTCATAGATAGTTTAGAATGATAAAAAAGTAAGTAAAAAAAGTAAAGGTCCTTTGTTCACGTCTTAAGGCTTATAGAGGCATATTGAGCTAGACCTATATTTTTATAGACACACAAGATGGATGATGTGGTCAGCATCACGCTGGCCACCTTTACTTCCCTGGACTACACTTGTACCCACTCAAGGCTGGGTCGACCTGGGAGTCAAGGTCGTTTTTGAAAAAAAGTATTTCTCCGCCAGGGAGCGAACCCATGATCTTCTGATCCGCATGCGAGCGCCTAACCGCTACGCCACGGCGATTCCCTTGGAATGATAAAGGCATTGTTAACTGGATGAACTGTCCTCTATATTGTCCATTGGTAAAGGCATTGTCCAAACCCTCAGTTTATCCAGTGTTAGCTGGCGGTCAGAATGAATGATGTCATCAACCCAATGGATGGGGAGTAATTGTGATAGATGGACGACCATTCCACTTTGTGTCAGCTATTGAGGATTGAACTACTTCAGCTTCCTCATAATGATGGACCCAGCGTTTGAAAATGCTAACACCCACTGTTGTATTTCCGTAAACATTCTTCAAACTTTCATGGATGCCTTCAGCATTGAGGAATTCTATGACATTGCATTGTTTTAATTGAATGTCTTTGGTAGTCATTTTAAAACCATAACAGTGGTGCCACCTGTTACTGAAACAGGATGGTAATGTTAAACAGTGCAAAAGAGTGACCGAGTAATCCTGCTAAATTTATAAGTAGCACACAGATACAATATTTACTTAAATAAAATATAGAAGGCATTAATATTTGATCATCCTGTGTATGTTTCTAAACCACCATTTAATATTACTAAAATATTTCATTTATTGCATTAGACTGGTCAGATAAGAGCTAGTATTTTTTTCATTATTAAAGGTAATAAGAACATTGACAAATTTGGAATACTTATTTGTGACATTATTTTTACTTTTGATACTTAGGGCAATTTTTGGATGACATCTTGCTTTGACAATGGACATTGTTAGAATTTAAAACTCCCTGTGTAGGTTCTGTGACCCCATTGTGGGGAAAACAAGAACAGACCCCCTCATTGGAAGCTTCTTTTGAAGTCGAAGTGCATCTGCCCGAATGGCAAGGACCAGCCAACTGCACACAAGTGAGCCAGTAAAACTGATGTATATGCACAAAACTGGCCCTGGCACAAAGCCAAAGTCCAAAAGGACGAACAATGAGGACTTTCCACCGGAGCTCAACTCTTTGAGTCCCAGAGGGTTTAGCATCAGAGGCCCAAGCGATAGTAAAAAGAGACGTAAAATCGGCGCATCATGCGTTCATTGGGCTTCTAGGTTGTAACCTATGAACATATGATGCGTTCCTTGGGACTTTAAGAGTTAAGCCAGTAAACAAAGAAGAAGAAGAAGAAGAAGAATTTAAAACACTTCAGTTTTTTTAAAACTCGCTATGTTATTAGAAGCATCTCATAAGAAAATGATGAACATCAATTTGCAACATTATAATAGCATTATAAATAGGAAATTAGAATATGAATATAGATAAGATATAGCCTTATAATGTACATGTCACGGAGTGAACAGCCAACCCAAAATTTGGACTAGTCGTGAAGTTGACATCCCTAGCGGGCAGGTCAAATTTCAAATTTAAACCCTTGGGCACGAATACAGGACTTCTTTTCTGGAGACGTCAAGCGGAATCTGAGGCGGGCATTCTTTGCCAGACCTCTGAGGTGTAGAGACACATTTCAATGCTCTCATTAAAATTTAGCCCATTCAAAATACCAGTTTAATCTTTGAAGGATTCCTAAGCTTGGGTAAGTTGATTATAGTTTGCGAGTACGTTGATATATGTCTCTTTAAAGTTGGCCACTGCTGTAGGGAGGGAAGATTCAGCTGTGTGACCGCACAGAACTAAGCCGTTCTTGATGTCCAGACACTCAAGCCTCTAAAATCAAACCTTTCCCTTCGCAGGCTAATAGTTTATGCTCTACATGACCCACACGATTATAAAGATATTAAGCCCAGCAAGTTAATTATTCTCTAACCAGACAACTGAGTTTGTGTCGACAGCAGACATGTGTAACTGGGTCGCACGTAAGCGCTCTGAGTCAAAGGTTATTTTTAGCACAACAACATTGAGTGTGCAGTGGACAGATTGTGGAGATATAAAATATATACATGTACGAACGGGATAGAATGTATGTCTGTGGGTGCAGATAGGAAGGTGGAGAGAGGATGATCTATGTGTAGTAGTGTGTATCTATCTCCACTATGTACCTTGTCTTCTATCTGGTGTACTGACTTACAGACAGATAAATGAAGGGGACATTGTCTCCTGTTCTTGAGAGTTATTCTCTGAGTGACTGAGAAGGGTAGAGGGAGATAAATTGAGCTTGGTGTGTGAATCTTAAGATGAATACTAATTCTGAGTTCTTTCCTGACAGGATGATACCTCCTTAGAGGTCAGGCAAACGAGTCACATTCCAGCTAACAATCACCAACCCATACCATCCCTATCACCAAACCTACCCAAAATCCTACCTATTGTTGCCACAACTTCAACATGGCAGGAGCTTGTGTGTGAGTTCCAGTGGCTGAGAGACAGTATTGCAGGCCACCTGTGTCATCAATCCAAGGAAGCCTTCTTCAGGAGCTTTGTTGGGCTCCAGCGTAGTTCTTTTGTCCTCATATGTGAGACGATCAGTGTTTACCAGATGAACCAGAGGAAAAGCGATCTATTGAGTCAGCCAGCTCAAATTACTATGGACTGAGGGGAGCAGTGACCTACCAGATTGGATAAGTAACATCTGAGATGACATACCACATGCTCTATTTACATGGCTACCTATGATTCACTGTGATGATCATGTACTCTCGGAACTTTGTCTGGCTGTTTCAATATCATTGCTGTGAAGTTAAGTCCTGAACTCCATTCACTGGAAACCATCTTGATTGTCTTGATATTTATATATATATATATATATATATGTTGCAATTATTACATCCATTCAGAAATTTTCATGGCTGACTTGGGTGTCCCTGTTTCACCATTCTAACTGTCTAGCTTTTATGTTTGTGTGATTAGTAAGTGTAATCTGTATTAACATGGCTATGATAGTATACTATCATAGCCTGGGGGCTATTTTTTTTATAGTAGTGGGGCTGTCCAGCCAAGTGTGCCTAGGAATATTAGATATTCTGTAGTGCCAGAGCTTGAGTTGCCCTACTCCTGAAATAAGTTGAGCATATATTGGCCACGGGATCTCCCTTAGACCAATATGAGCCGACGCCTCAACATTATTATTTCAGAGTGCTGTTGGTTCTTAAGGAGCAATCCTTAAATCAGGCACGTGACACGAGCGGTATGTGACAGTACAGTACATTGTAAATACAGTTTGTAGCAAATGGACACTGTTGGGTCAGTTTGTTTATCGAAGTACTACGATGTTTAATTTGTCATTACAAGAAATATTTGGTAGGCATGTTAGTGTAGTGGCTAGGTACTCACCTGCCAGGTCAGAAGTCTTAGATATAAATCTGTACCTAGGCAGATTAATAAAAAAAAAAAAAAGACCGACCCAGTATCAGGTAATGTAATAGGAAGTAAAAGGCAGCCACATCGCCCATTGAGGGCCAACTGGTCTATACAAATTTGAGTCTAGCATCATACACCTGCACACTTGGTACCAAAATTATTTGTTTCACTGACCTTGAAGAGATATGTGCAGCGATAAAATGGGGAGGGGGAAAAAATACATAGTTTAGTGAAAGATAGAGGGAGAGTGACAGGTAGAGAGGGACATGAGAATACAAGTACACATTAGAGAGAGCAAGAGAGAAAGACAAATAGGTAAGCAGGGAGAAAGAGATAGAAGCGGCAGATGGAGAGAAAAACAGCACACATACACATGAAATCTTATCTCTGGCAGGGAAGGATCCAGCAACAGATCTCAGGGGAACAGGAATGCTTTCACTTCTACATCTGTTGCACTTTCTGCAAAGTCCCAGCACTAAAGACCTGGCCAGAGATGTTTACAAACTCTCACTGCATCCAACACAGGTTTGAAGTATTCAGTTAAAGGTCTGCGTTAGTTATTTATTTCATAATAGTCAATGTGACTGTTATCAGCATGTGCCATAAAGGTGCAGGTGATTGTGATCCTCTTTATTCTTGATAAGTTCAACTGCTAGCATTTAATCCTCTGTTGACCTCTGTCTCTGGTTATCTCAGTCTTCTCAAGTGTCACAGTGTTCTCCAGACCCTGTCTTCTTATATCATGGCTAACAATTCCAACAGTTTATGTTTTTCTTATTCTGATATGCATAATCACTCCACCCCCCCCCCCCCCCCACCTCCTCCACCCACCCACCCTACCCCTTTCTGTCGTCCTAAATAATTTTAATATTGATTTTATTAAATGTTAAAACATTATGAACATTTTTAGACTTTATCTCTCTCTGCAACCCATTTATCCCTGGTCTTTAGATATCCTATACCTAAATTTTTAAGACAAACAATCAGTCAGCCAAGTACCATCTCCACATTAAAGGTTGGCTGAATTACGTCTTTAGAACCCTGCATTTTCATGGCACTCTCATACAAGCTTTTCCTGTCTGTTAAATTGAATCCATCACTTTATTTTGAATTCATGGACTATGGAAAGTCCTTTGACAGCTTCAATAATGAATATCTGGAAATTGGTAAGGTACTATGGGATGCCATAGAAAGTCATTCATTTAATAACAGCAAACTTATAAAGACATGAAATGTCAAGCTCTTTGAGAAGGAAAGCTAACAGATACATTGGAAATAAGAAAGCTATGCGACAGGGCCGCCTTTGGCCACCCCAGCTGTTTTTACTGTAAGTTGACTGGGTTATGAAGACAGCAACAGTTACCATGAGAAATGGAATTTACTTGACTCTGGCAGAACAGATTGATGAAACAGAGTTTCTGGTGGACTTTTCTGAATATGTTCCTCCCATCCCACTCATGAAATCAGATGCAAGATAAAGATATTTGGTGAGAGATTATAAGAAATTGGTTTTAGATATCTTTAGAGTAAAGACAAAGATAATAAGAACAAACAGGCAATCTCTCTTGATTTGGAGTCATACTTTTTGTTGGCAATAATGTAGTTACAGATGGTGGAACTGACAGAACAGAGATATACAAATTTGAATTCAAGAGGCAAAAGCTTTGGGAGACAACTGAACTAATTTCAGGAAATCTTGAGTTTAGGAAAATATGCTTACATTGGATTTGTCTCATGATTAGAAAACATGACAACAGTATAACCAGAATGTCTTTGCATTAGAACTCCTAGGGTCAAAGAAATGAGACTAAGAAACACATATTGAGAAAAGAACTAGACAGTGAAGTTAAAAAGATGGGGAGAACATTGGTGTGCATTTCACATGAAATAAGTTTAATTTTGTTATTATGAATATATGAAACCGCAATTTAATGATTATAAAAGTACATTTTCAGGTTTTTGATTTATCACTTGTTTTTTTTTCTTTAAGAATTTTCCATTTTGTATAATGAGTATAAACCTGTCACGGATATCTTTACAAGCTGTAAGGGAGGACGTATATAACAAGTAAGTTATATTGCCTGGGCCTATGTTTTTTGTATGTCAGACTTGAAACATGATTATATGTCACTCTGCAGGGATATTTTTATCAATAAAAAGCTGGTTTCACAACAAAGTATTTTAAATGTTCATCTGAACCTTGTGCTGCCTACATTCGTAACCTTATGGTTGTTGGAGTACCCTAACTCTTATGATACTCTTTATGATATATTTTCTCTGTGTTTTTGATATTTGTATCAGGTGTCAAGCAAATTATCAGTGATATCTCCTTGTAGGTGCTAGGGTCCCATTTTTTGGTGAAAAAATAAATAAATACTGTCCCTTAATAAGAATGTCCTAACAGGCGACTAATTAGGGATGCTTTTCTTCAAAGTCAAAGTGGTTTCCGCCTGAAAGGCAAGGAACCAGCAACCTGCATACAAATAAGCTAGATCTGTAAAAGGGATGCGCACACAAAAAGTCAAGTTCTGGAACAAGACCAAAGTCTTGATGTGGGCGAACTAGAGTCCAGATAAGGATAAAAATGAAACACTTTCTGCTGGAGTTCACAACAGGGTGAATGCTAAGAAGAAGAAGAAGGTAGTCTGGTAGTCTGGTAGTCTTAGTTTCAGCTTCATAGCAAACGGGTCGCCCCATCTTTGCTCCGCTCCTGTGCCAGCGAAAAACACCCAAAATGTTTATCACAGTCCCTTGTGGAAAGATTGACAGACTGCTGTCTCAGCATATCTAGCATACACTCGCATTAAAGCATATGGTAGCCATCCGAAGTGCTAACACAAACAGTCCAACATTAGAAATGCAGTTCATCATTGATGATAGCAGAACTTGTCGCCAACAGATCAGCAGTTGCCCACGCGATCAATTTTAATACGGGCCCCGCCAGCATTGCACGACAGGCATCGCGCCATTTTCTGAATCTACAATTCACACCACGTTGGTCACAGTCGAAAAAACATTCCAAATGCAATCCGCAGCTCACAGGGTCACGCCATGCGTTCAACACAGAAGCTGGGCGACGAAACTATATCCAGTCTACAAATGGAGCAAAAATGCATCGGCCACCGTCCGGCAGAAGCAAAAAATTTACCTCTGCTCCGAACAGCGCCGCTGTCTAGCGTCCATTTTAACCGGATTCTATCCATAAGAAGGAGATCAGATCTGTGGTTCAGAAGAGTCTGAAACAAGGAAACATGACTAGACAGTTTTATGAAGATGACATGTATAATGCCACCCAGAGGCAGTAATGACACTGTATGTAAATCAAAGCAGACAGATTACAGAGACAAGACTGAAATTGATTTTTAGAAAGAAGCTATGATGAGAAACCAAAGACAACCTGAATAGTGAATTTATCAACATTTGAAAACAATTTATTTACATCTGTTTTTTATATTCAAATTGTGTTAAACTATATTTTGATATTTTGAATTAGTAAGTAATTAATTTATTCACTATTTTTGCTTTAATAAACTATACTTATTCTTTATTGTTTTGGATTTTTCACCAGAGAGTGCAACAGAAGCAAAGATGTGATAAATACAGTTAATAATATTTACACAGCACTTTTTCTGCACTTGTATATAGCATGGAAGAAAGGAAAGACGATCATGGATTCAGGGTTTGTTATTCAAGGTATTTTGCTATATGTATCTATCAGCTAATAAGTTGAGTCAAGAATTGACATCACAGCACTCGGGGCACTCCCACATGTGCTCCATCCCCATCTTCAGCAGCCAGCGCAGAGTTCCAACACTGGTGGTACCAGTCAAAGTCTGGTTATATGTCTTGCCTTTCCTCTGAGTGTAGTGAGCCGGCCAGACCATCTGGTCACACTTAGGTGCATCATTCTCTCCGGGTCATAATAATCCATTTTCTCTTCTGACTTTTGTTACTTGTTCCCAAAGAGTCTTGACCACATCTGCCTTGTTATGTATCAATTCACCACCCAATGGTGCAGATCCAGCCAATCTGTATGCCTGTTCATTCCTCACTACTCCGGCATGGCCTGGAGAAAAGATCCAAAGTATGCTGACTACCAATGACCCTCCAAGTGAAGCTTGCCACTCAGCTCAAAGTAACCCTGTCTTTATCTTTCTCAGCATGCTTTTAGAGTCTGTTATAATTACGACATGTGTATGCATCTTGCTCTTCATCCACCAGAAAGCTGCAGTGAGGGCCTCCACCTCCATTCTCATGCTAGATGTTGTGCTATCATTTGCTAGGCTGTTCTGTACTAAAGATTTTCGATTGGCTTTCACTACTAACCCCAGGCACTTCTCCTCCCTCTCAACACAGAGCCATCTGTATAGATAATCAGATCATCTGGGCGAGAATTGTCCTATCAGCTCGAGAACTGACATATCAGCTAATAAGAACAATTCTCTGTTACATATTTGCACAGGCCTCTAGGAAGGTTGTGATGTGAAGTAAATCCTCCACTGATCCATGCAGCTTGGTTTCCACTGGAGTTCCAAGCAGCCAGATCTTTCTACTGCATGTAGAGAGAGTTTGTCTGAAGCACATGTTCAGTATTCTGTGTGGCCAATGTTTAATTTCTTGTACAAATGGCTGCAGAGTTAGTTGTGCCCAGTTTGCAGTCTAAAAAACAATGGTCTGTTGCTTTTGTATAAGGAAGTTGCCTGGAGGATTATGTTCTGGATGACAATTTTCCCCTGTGGGTTCCAGGACCCCATTATGGGAAAAACAGGAATAGACCCACTGCCTCCCAAAAACAAACATGTTGTAGGAGGAAACTATTTGGGAACTGTCTTCGAGTGCATCTGCCTGAGCAGCAAATAAAAACCAGCTGCACACAAATAAACCAGTAAAGTGGATGTATGTGCAAAACTCAGGCCCTGGCACAAAGCTTAAGTCCAAATGGATGAACAACCAGGACTTTCTGAAGGAGCTTACAGCCGGTGAACAAAGAAAGAAGAAGAAGGAGGAGGACGATGAAAATTATTTCAGTGGGTTTTAACAGCTGCTTCCTCTTAGTTTTGTTTACCTGATCAGTGCATTTTATATCTGACTGTTGTCTACTACTACCAGGTTTTGCTAAGTAGTCTGTTCTTTCATTTCCCATAATGATGCAGTGGCCTGGGAGCACAGTCTGCTTGGTGAACTGTCCAGAAAATGTATACAGAATTTACTTGTGTAGATGAAAAAAAAAAATCTGACTTGATTCAGTCATGACGAAATGAAATCAGTTTGTTTCAATTGGAGCATATACTTCTCTTTGTTCAGGCTTACCTCACAGTTTAAGCAGTTTCTTTGATTAATTCTAAGAATTTGCCTAGGAGCCTGGAATTTAGTGACCAGTTGCTTTATAAAGTTGGAATATAGAATTTTAATGCTCTAACATTAAAAATCAATTATTTATTGCATTATTAGCATTTTTTTAAATTAAAGGAAAACATTTGTGTTGTGAAAGTGAATTTAATTTTACTTAACTCTTTGAGTTTCAGGTGGTTTAGCATCAGAGGCCTAAGGGGTGGTAATGCAGTATTTTTAATTTCACAAGTGTAACACATTGAAACATACTATATGACATCAGCTGCTGTGCAACATACACATATTATACATCAAAGTGACCAGGGATTGTTCGGGAATAATAATAGAATGCTACTACAACAAATAATTGCGCTAGTAGTTAAATATTAGTAAATAAACAGACAATATCTTTACAGAAATTAGTAAAATGAAACAATAATTTGTCCACTTGCCACCATGGCGCTAAAGGAAAACTTGTTAAAATATATCAAAAATGAATCACAAATGAACATGAACCACTTAATAATGTATAAGTAAAATTTAAACTCAATCTGTACATCAGATGTTGTTCCAGAGAATCTTTTGAAGAATCATAACAGAGCACCATTATTTGGTAAAGAGAGCAGATTTCCCAAAACAATTAGTATCTTCACACAAAACAAAGTTTAAATAACACTCAATTTGCCTGTAATTTTGCAGCTATGTTCCTAAATGACAAGGGGAATAGCACTGGAACAAACCGACACTAAAAAAAATATCCTTTTCACTAATATTTATTCTATTGTGTCAGCTGACTTTGTTTTCGTTGTACCCTTTGCATGAAGTACACATTAGAGCTATCCCTCATCATAGTTTGACTCTGTAAATGACTGAACCAAGTCTTCTTCACAATGTTATCTATCTAACTTCGGATAAATCAAATTAACACATGATTTATTTAAATCTGAGGCTCATAAAGCTGTAAATCATGGCATGCATGTAGAAAACTTCTCCCTGGCCATATTGTTTTCAAACAGTAACATGGTAAACCGTGCAAATATACTACATTTGAGGCTTTTAACCACTTTTCCAAATGAGTCTGATGGTCAGCACTTCTGATATCAAAAACAAACACCTGGAAAGGAAGTTGAAATTGAGCAGTATGCGTTTTATCACTGGTCAGTGGTAAATTAAAAACTTTTACTCATCACACGCCGATTGTAACCAATTAGCGTATGATGCATTACTTGGGACTCAAAGAGTTAAATAATGACAGAGTCGATTATAAGCACTAAGAAAAATTATTCTGATTATAATGAGTGATTTTTCCTTTTTCAGAGATTGAAATATATGTTCGCAAACATTCCAAAGATATTTTCAAAGAAATGAAGGCGTATGAGCAGGCTAAAAAGCAGCATGGACAATCTAGAAAAGATTCAGATGCTGAGCCCATCTTTCTTAATGTGTGCAAAGAAGATAAAAGTTGATCAGAACTCAAATACAGTGCATCCAGAACATCACTGTGTACGTTTCTCTTCACATGCACGTGTGTGTGTCTGCTCATTTCACTGAAAATAGTCAAAGTGACTTTTTAGACATTTTGTATGAACAACATGCGGTGTACACTGTAGTAGGCTTTAAGAGCTCATCAAGGGAAGTCAATGAAATCGAGAAGACAGCTGAAAATTGAATTGTGCTTGTTCCCAAATTCCCCCCCACCCCAAGATTTTCTCTTGCAACAGTTGAGTTGATTTGAGTTGAGTCAGAATTGACATCACAGCACTCTGGGCATTCCCATGCATGCTCCATCCTCATCTTCAGCAGCCAGCGCAGAGTTAACAAAACAAGGAAACTGCTTTTGAAACTGTCTCATTGTTGCCATTTTCAAATTCTAAAAATCTATTTCCAATATTTTTTGAACAACTGTAAGAGACACGTGTTGTTTCTTGGTCACGTATTGAGAAGAGACAGTTTGTAAAAGTGTTGTGATGGCTAGAACAATCAGAAGCAGTAGATGAGGTAGAGATAGACAAGGAAAATAATGCTGGATGGTCTAAGTTGGTGACACGGATGTATATCATCCATAGAATTGATCCAAAACATCCAGCACTGAGATCTGTGGAGAAAAGGCATGAATATACCATGTGGCCAGTGGCACATTTGGCATAGGATGTTAGACATGTTTCTGTAGACCAGTTGGCACTCTGCGGATGATGTGGATCATGTTGACCGCCTTTTCTTCTCAGGACATTACCTAGTCTCCAGTTTAGACAGTCAGTTCAAGCATTTAAAAAAAATCTTATTCAGTGTAGGTTCATACCTAAGACCTTCGGACCGACAGATGAATGTCTAGCTGCTGTAATACTGAGGCTGCTACCCTAGGTATTTCTACAAATAAATATTTCTTACCATGATTCTAGGTTCATTCTTTCAGTCACAGACAGTTATTTAAACATAAATGCTGAAGTTATACACACAACATACCATCCACCTTATCAAGGTAACCACAGAGTAAAAAG